TGGTTGTCCTCAATTAAATGAAAATATAAAACAATTACTTAATAATTTTTTATATTGTTTATGAATTTTTTATTCTTCAAATAAAATGCCTCATTTAAATACTTATTAAATAGCATTCCAGAATATCACGCTTTAAATAAGATGTTACTGACATTTTACTCTATTGTGACACATTAAACATTTTTGTACACATATTTGCATATACTTGACCGATGCTAATTAAATTTTGCTTCACAAATAAATTCATTACAATGTTATTGCTACAAGTGAAAGTTTAGACATTGTGAAAGCATAAATAAAAATAAAATTAATGCTTATAATTAATATTAAATTTGGTTTATTTTACAATATGACATAAAAGTGATGGCTCTAAAAAAAATTGATTAATTAGATTCCTATCTGTAACTGTGAGCTTTCTTTTTTGAGTATGAGGAGTCATCACAAAATGTCAACCCCTCAACCTCTCTAAAATTGGTCACACTTTAGCTCATCATCTCCTTATCTTTTATTTTTCTTAAGAGATATGACCAAGTGAGGATGGTTTTTTTTTGCTGAGAATATTTGCTGAGTAGTTTCCCTTTGACAGGAAATTACAATTTAGTACACAACTTTTTAGGAAAATCTGGATTAAATTAGATTCAATTGTCAGTTTTTAAAACAATTTATAAAAATAAATAAAAAAATATTTAAAAAACAAATGCTTAAGTTCATTTTAAAAATACTTTTAAAAAAATGTAACTTTGTTGTCACTTTCTTAACTGCCTCTCACCCTCATCACATACGTGGGACTCACCATTCCCCTATGAGTATGAGTGGGTCATTTATTGATGAACCCTAGTAAAAAACTATGCAATAATAAAGATTTTTAAAAATGTACTGGTATTTGCTTTATTTACACAAAAAGAAAAAATAGGAATACATCACATGTTGTTTATCAAAAATTAAGATTATGGAAAATAAATATTTGCTTAGTTTTGTGTTGTCCATAAAAAAAAATATCAATGTATACAAAAGAAATCATGCATTACTTAACTGCTGTGCCATATAATAAATGTTTAGCAAAGAAAGCCACCCAAGTGTTGACAGAATAATGGCGGTAAGAAACTTTACTAAAACCAGAGTTATCCAGGTGTGTCCATGTTTCTCTATTAATATTGCATCCTCCACTGAAGTAAGGCCAAATATACTGAAGTTTATTTTGAAACCATCTAACAAATGATCCTCTTGGTCCAGCAACATGTTCCATGTAGAAAAATGTTCCTCCCTGGAAGATTGGAAAATCATTTGTTTTACCCTGCTCATTTAAGTAATTGATTAGTGGTTGTCCATAAATTACATCACACTCCTTTTGTGTGTAGGGGTGGTCAGAAAGTGTGACAACATACTTTTGCATTTAATTTTAAACAATAATGTTTGAGAATTAATCAGTATTTTGCGTTTTTAAAGACTTTTTGTAAATTATAATAAAAAATTATCAGTATACTTATTGATGAACAAACTCAGTTAATATTTTAGAAATTATTTAGAAAGAGATCAGTTTAAAAAAATAAAATTGCACTTTTAAGGGGTAGGGTGGTAGGTGTGGGGTAAGTATTTGGACAGGGAGATCTGTTTTTTGTGACAACTGTGAGTGTTATGAATGGTATCTTAGATATTGCAAAGGTATGAGAGTACGTATGTTGTAGAATGATTTATAAAAGATTGTGATGAGGCATGTAAGGATGTGACATGTGAGAGTAGGATATATTTGCTGAGGGAAAAGATTAGATCAGTCTTCGTCATGTTGTGCTAGGGTGTAGAGGTGTTTGTCTGTCGTCGTGAATATAGTCGTCTTCGTTTAAGATGTAAAAGTGGTCGTCCCTGTGTATTTAGCTGTAAAACAAACTATGGAATGAACCAATGCTGTCCTGTTCAGTCATTCATATCAGATTGCCATTGTCTATAGATCCACATTGTCATACAAAGTCGGCCTCCATCCTCATCTCGTATTGTAACAGGGAGAGGGGGTGTGATTTTTACACATGATCCCCTAACCCTAACTTAAACTCAAGAGTTTAAGTAATAATATTGACAATTCCAGCTCTTGTGCATTATTGTTGCTGATAAAAAAAAATATTAAGAAATTCAAAATAGTCTTTATGAAGTTTTACTTTAGCTGTAGATCAACCACTACGTCCAGTGGTTCAAGCAGTCCACTTTTGTTTGAAAAGATGCATGCAACTTGCTATTTAATTTTAATAATGTGAATCACTTTTGATTACATAGAAAAGGACATATAAGACCTTGCCCACATGTTGCTGCTTGATTTGATGAATACAGTAATGTTCATAATTACTAACCCAAAAGTCTTTGAGTTAGATCACAGGCTGAGTATACCCAGCTGGGATGGGTATCTGACTCAAGTTGGGGAAAGTTCAGGTAGCTGGACATGGAAATCGACACAATATTTCTGTTGACATTACACAAACTTTACTTTTTACACCATTTTTTTTTTATGATTGTCTTAGAACTGGAGATATTGCGCCCCCCCCCCCCCCCCCCAACCAACACATCCACTGCCCCCTGACAAAATAGAAAAAATCTTAAATTTAAGTAAATTAGTAAGTGCCCTCCCCCATCACAGAAAAAAATGTCTGAAAGAAACTCTGCTGGAGATGGAGTTTAATACCCGTGTACCAGTATTGATATAAATTGGTATAAAATTTGGAAATTATGATATTGTTTATTAGAATAATTTAACCTGTTTTGCGTTTGAGTTAAAATATGAATCCATGTAGTAAATACTCACTGGTTTGAGAACTCTTTTAATTTCACCCAGCACTGCAGTTGGGTTTCTAACAGTGCATAAAGTAAGAGTGCATACAACTACATCATATGAATTGCTTTCCACTTTAGGCATATTTTCTGCAAAACTCTTAATAAACCCTTTGAAATTCAAATGATTATTGTCTTTCTTTAGATTTGTATGTATGTATGCTTCATGAAAAGGGTTAGGGTCAACACATGTTAAATGACTCCCTCTGGGATAAAATTTAAAATTCATTCCACTTCCAACTCCAATTTCTAAAATTTGCAACGGACTCTTAGCTTTCTCTTTTAATTCGATCATTTGATGGAATAATAGTCTCTTTTCGTTATCACAAAATTTTCTGTGAACCCACCCACAAAAGAAGTTCAAACACCAAGCTTCTATTTTTGCTTTCTTAATCTTGCTTTTAAGATGATACACACAATAGAATAAAACTATTACAGGTAATACATAGTACATAATTCCATAACGAAGTTCAGCATCAAATTCAGCCATTTATTTTGATTATAGATCTAGAATCTAAATTATTAGGTTATGCAAATTCGATCAATTTATTGTAAAGGAAATCAACTATCAATTTTTACTTGGTCTTAGTCTTAGCAATATGTTACCACTGTTATCAAAGTCCAGTTGGCCTACATTTTATTTTTATTAAAAATCCTGGAATCTAATTGCCAGGGAAAAATATGTATAAAAAGTCAATATTGTGCTTTCTAAGAAGAAAAAAAATTGTTTTACGGAAAATAAAATGTGTGTTCACGACACAGATAAAAAGGAAAACAAAATAAAAATAAAATAACAGTACAACTAAATTTTAGTTAAATGTTGATGTTGAAACTGCTTTTACTTTTCTCTTTGTGACTTTCCCGCAGAGGCCGATCATATTACATAATTATATTAATTAGATCTATTATGATTGTTATTGGTATATTATCTAGATCTAGAATATAGATCTATATAGATTCTATTTATTTACTGATTAAGTCAAACTTTACTTAGGCCTGCTTTATTACTGCTTTCATTTCTGTTAAAAATTGTAAGACCTAAAATAATTTAGCCCCCTATTTTTTTTTTTAAGATCCAGATCTAGATCTAGTCTAGTTGCCAATCTGGTAGCTCTGTAACCTATTGTTTTATTTTCGTAGGCCTACTTTCACTTTTCTTTTGAAAATAATAATTTTCTAGATTTAGATCTAGAGCTAGGTCTAGAAAAAGGACAACCTTAACTAAACTGTAGAACCAATGGTTAGGCATTTTTAGATTAAAGAAGGTAAGCTTAAACAATAAACTGAACAAACAGTAGCCTTAATAATAAGTAATATTATCCCCCCATAGGCCTAATGCCTAATCCTAGATCTAGGTCCTAGACTGAGGATGATATTTAGAATCGACCCTTTGAATCCCGGACAGATCGTCCCCCCGGCGTGGCCTCAACCAACCGGCGGGCTCGTTGCATTTGAGTTAAATATAAACTCAAAACAATAATATTAACAATCTCTTTTCGGTCGGTCAGGCCACATACCAGGCATGCACAGTGTTGTGGGACAAGTTGACACTGTGTGGGGTTACTAGTAGTACTAGTTACTACTACTAGTCATGGTGTAGCTTTTTTACCAAATATAAGTTGAGGCAACTAGTTATTCTAGGTTTTTTTCATAAGCAAAGTCATAATGATGTTTCTCTTTGCAGATGCCATAATCTCTTGTTTTTAACACGTTTTTCTTAACTCAGCTTCGCGTTTGTTTGTTTGTTGTTAAAATTGACATCGAAAATTAGCCCACTTCTGATTGCTCTAGAGACCTGAAATTTGGCATGCATGCTACTTTCGCCTAACAATTTCAGATGCAATCATAAAAACTAGCAATCAGTGACCGTAATTAGCTTAATTTAATTACGCCCCAAGGACCATAAAATTGAGGACATGATTTCTAAAGATACCGACAAGACTTGAGGCCTATTGACACAGTTACTTCGGCCCCAATCGATGTGAGCTCGCTGGCCGTGATCGTATAGTGGTTAGTACTTCGCGTTGTGGCCGCGACAACCCAGGTTCGAATCCTGGTCGCTCAAGATTTTTTTAGTCCGTGTATTTATAAACACTTTTTTAAAAACCACGTTTTTCATGTGTAGCAACGGACTAAAAAGGAGAACGGACACGGTAACACATTGTTAACGGTGACACGGTTGGTACGCTGGGCATGCTAAAATACACATAAACACGTTTTTCCTTAACTCAGCTTCGCGTTTATTTGTTTGTTTATGGGAGATTTGATCACGTGATTCGTGAGTAGATCTCCACGCCAGCAACGTAAATTACACCCTTTCTCTGTTTAAAGGGTCTCGGTCGCTCAAGATTTTTTTAGTCCGTGTATTTAAAAACACTTAGTCAAGTCATACTTAATCAAGTGATTAGATAAAGTAGAAAATAAACTATATAAAAAACTTTTTAAAAACCACGTTTTTCATGTGTAGCAACGGACTAAAAGGGAGAAAATAAAATACTTAAAAAAAAACTTTTTAAAAAACCACGTTTTTCTTGTGGACTAAAAAGTAGAAAATAACTATTTACATACATTTGATGACAAAAAACGTGGGTCGGGCAGATGGGTCGGGAAATTTGATGGTGAACGTACCCACGTTTTTTGTCATCAAATGTATGTAAATAGTTATTTTCTACTTTTTAGTCCACAAGAAAAACGTGGTTTTTTAAAAAGTTTTTTTTTAAGTATTTTATTTGTTTTTGTTTTGCTTTAACTAAAATTTGTTTTGTTTAAAAGTATAACTTTTTGTTATGTATACTTTACAGTGAAAGGAAATAGTTAAGAATGTCAACTGTAGATTTACTTGGAATACAGGGCATTCGGAGTTTTGGTTGTGAGGCAGCTGACTTTCAGAGAGTTCGATTCTTTAAGCCATTAACGCTTATTCTTGGACCCAATGGCACTGGCAAAACCACCATCATAGAATGTTTGAAATATGCAGCCACTGGGGATATGCCACCCGGAACTAAAGGACCAGGAGGAGCTGCATTTGTTCACGACCCTAAGCTGGCTAAAGAAAGTGAAATTAAAGCTCAAGTAAAGATGATGATAAGGGACATAACGGGCACTACTTGCACAGTGCAGCGATCAATGACTGCAAGGGTGAAGGACGGTAAGGGTAAAAAAGTGGAAATGAAAACATTAGATGGGGTCCTTACAAGACTCACCCCCAATGGTGATAAACAGTCAATTACATCCAGATGTGCTGATTTAAACAGAGAGATGATTGGAGCTCTGGGTGTATCGAAAGCTGTTCTAGATAATGTGATATTTTGTCACCAAGAAGATTCAAACTGGCCATTGAGTGAAGGAAAGGCCCTGAAGGAGAAATTTGATGCCATCTTTGCTTCAACTAGATACACAAAAGTTTTGGATGAAATAAAAAAGTTAAAGCAGTCTCAGGATCTAGAAATTAGGGAAGGAAAAAAGGAAATGGATTATCTGAAGCAGCATAAATCCAAAGCTGAAGAGCTGGAAAGAGATCTAGAAGATTTGCAAGTTAAACTTACTGCTTCAATTGATAGTGTAAATAATATTAATGAAGAGTTGAAGCCTGTGAAGGAGCAGCTAATTACAATCGGAACTAGACAAAATGACATATTTAAACTGGATACAGAGAAACAAAAATTGGTTAGTGAACAAAGTTATCTTGAAAAAAGTATTGAAGATTTAATGCTGAAAATAAAAGAAGAGTTTCAAGGAACAACTGCTGAACTGAAAAAAACAATACAAGACTTTACCTCCCAGCTTGAAGAGAAACAGGAAGAACTAGATCAACAAGAACAAGAACAAAATAAAATAAAAAGCGAGATTGAGAAATTGATGAAAGAAAAGAGTACTTTAATGATGGAAAAGGGAAAACTTGAAAAGGAAGCCGAGATTCAAGAGACCAATATTAAAAGACGAAATAAAAAGATATATGAAGTAGCAAAGGCTTATACATTTGAGGGTTTGGAAGAGGACGTAGAAATCAATGATGCAAAGTACAGACTGTTCTTTGAGCTGATTAAAGATAAATTAAGTTCTATGATGGATGAAGGGAGAAAGAAAAAGGCTGAATTTGAAGAAACAGAAAATCAGCTGCAAGTTAAGGTTGACAAGTTGAGAGAAACAAAAACAAAACTGGAACATGGAGAGAAAATAAAAAATGAAACAATTGAAAAAAACACAAAAGAAATTAAAGAAATAAATCAGAAACTAAGCCAAATGGCTGCCTCTGAAGACAAACTAGCAGGTCTTGGTCTTGATTTAAAAAGAGCAGAAAATGAATTGCATGCTATTGAAAATTCTTTAAATCCAGATGATATCAAAAAGGAGATATTGGATCTCGACAGACAGAAAAAGCAGCTAGATGCCACATTGAATGAACTGAGCACAGAGTTAAATAAAATAACAAAGCAGTCTGGGATTCAGACACAGCTAGACATGTTGATTGCCAACCAGCAAGAAAAAGAATCAACTATTGAAAGGTTAAGAAATGAGCACAAAGATAGCATAGAGAGTGTTTTAGGTCACATACCTATGGATAACTTGAGGGAGAGTGTCAGTGATTACATAAGTAACCAAACAGATAATGTTAGGAAATGCAATGCTGTACTTAGTGAGTGCAAGGCACAGCTTTCAAAAAAGCAGGCAGAGAAAAATGCAGCCACTGATCAACTACGCCAGAAGGAAGATGACTTGAGGGCATCAAAAGACAAAATTCAAGACATATGTGAAAGTCAGGACTTGGATGAGGAATTTAATGAGGTGCAAAGAAATCTAACACAGGCTCAAGAAGAAAAGGGTTCCCTTCTTGGTGCTGATCATATGATCAAGAAATACATAAGGAACCTTGAAAAAAATAACCCATGCTGCCCATTGTGTCAGAGAGGGTTCCAACAGGCACAAGAAGTCAGGGAGCTTATTCTTAAACTACAAGAACAGTTGCGTAAGGTACCCATAAGCCTAAGGAAAGCTGAAGAGGATATGGAAAAGTACCAGAAAAAATATGATGATATCATGCAGCTGAGACCAATCCAAGAGAATGCAGATAAAATCCAAGACATAGAGATTCCAAATCTCAAGGAAAAAATTAAAAAGTTAGATGAAGATATAAAGCATATTAAAGAAAATCTCCAGACAAAAGAAGATGAATTTAGCATGCTTGAAGACAGTCTGCAAACTGCTAAAAGCTTTGAACCTGATGTTATTGATATGGATCGCAGACGAGGGGAAGTAAGAGAGCTACAAAGGAAAATTGAAGCACAAAGAGCCTTGCTGATTGGTGGTGTTTCTGGTAGAACAACAGATGTTGTAATGCAGCAGAGAGAAGAAAAGCAACTTGAATTAGAAACCATCAACAGAACTCTGGACTTACGAAGGGATAAGTTAAGTGAATACCAGGAACAAACACAGAAAATGAGAAATAAAGTTCACACTCTTCAGGCTGAGAAGTTATCAATTGAAGGAAATTTGCAGCAAAAAATTAAGTTTGAAGAAAGAAGAGCCACATTGACAAGTGAAAATAAAAACTTTCAGCGTGATATAGATGAGGCACGTACACAGCTTAAACCCATAGAAAATCAGATTAAAAAGTTGATTGAGGAAAAAGCAGATGTTAGTAAAGAAAAAGAAATGATGATGGAAAAAGCAAAAGCAGATGTTGATATTGTTAAGAAGAATGGAACAGATGTGAGGAATCTAAATACAGAAATTAAAAGTTACAATGATTCTGGTAAATCTGAGAAATTAAAAAGCTGTATGAAGAAAGAGGAGCAACTGGAAAGTTTCCAGAAGAAGCTTGAAGAAAGGCTAGACAATGTCACTGCCAAAGTAAAACAGTTACATAATGACATTAGTAATCAGCAAATGCGTGAGAGGGAACTGCAAGACAATCTTCAGCTTCGCAACAACCAGGAAGAGCTAAACAAACTGGGTGCCAAAATTGAAGAACTGAAAGGAAAACTGGTAGGTTTTGACATGAGAAACTTAGAGCAAGAGAGGCAAAAACTGATTCTCAAAGAAAGAGAGTTAACTCAGAAGCAAAGTAATGCTTTTGGACGGCAGCAAGGTTTTAAAGATCAAATCAAAGCAGTGACCAAAGACTTAGGCTCTGATATGTACAAAGATGCCCATCAGAAGTACAAATCCAAGATCATTGAAATAAAAACCACAGAGATTGTGAATGCAGACTTACAGAAGTATTATGGTGCTCTGGATAAGGCTATCATGATGTAAGTAAATACATTTTTTTTAAACTATGTTAAAAATCTTGAGAAATAGATGTCTTAATTTTGTAACTTCTAAAGCCAGATGTACCGTTTTATTATCTGGAATTAGTTTTTGGTTATAGACTTGAAATAGTCATTGTAAAAATAATTTTTGTTTTTATTAAAAGGTACCACAAATCCAAGATGGAGGAGATCAACATTATTATCCGTGAGTTATGGAAAAATGTGTACAGGGGAAATGATATTGAGACTATTGAGATCCAGTCAGAAGCAGATGATGGACCAGCAACTAGTACAATAAAGGCAAGGAGGAGCTACAACTACAGAGTTGTTATGATAAAAAATGGTATTCCTATAGACATGAGGGGAAGATGCAGTGCTGGTCAAAAGGTAAATTTGGTTTCAGTATTTCAAGCAAGTTGGCCTATATTATGTGTCTATCGTTACCATAACTGTGCTAATAGGATTATTAGATATCAGATTTGCAAACTTTTTTTTTTCAAATATAAAGTTTTAACATTTTTTTATTGAACACTTTAGTATTATCCTCATCCTTTTAAAATTTGAAAATAATGTTTCTCAATTATCAAAAAACTTGAAAATTATATCATAACACATGAACTTTGTGTAAATTTATCTGTAAATGACTCTATGTAGTTTTTGGAGATTTTACAGTTAGTTAAGGTAGTGTTTTTGTGATCCAAGGTATTTTCAGTTTCATCCCCATGCTGGGCTGCATTAATCCCCAACCCAAGTACCTCTTGCAGCATGGCGGACTAAAGAATGTTTTAAAGACTGGATTTTATTTTATTTACCAAATTAACATGAGCATAATTCTTTTTAGGTACTAGCATCACTCATTATCCGCTTAGCATTGGCTGAAACATTCTGTGTAAACTGTGGCATCCTGGCTTTAGATGAACCCACCACAAATTTAGACAGAGCCAACATTGAGAGCTTAGCTGTAGCTCTAGTTGAGTAAGGACTATTTTAATAAACATTACACATATTTGAATTGTAAAAAGTATCCTTTCAGAACAGGCTGTCCATAGGGCAAAAGTGGATTTCTTTTGCTTATAATGAATTGTTTGGTTATTTGCCTTTACATTCCTCATCTCACATATCATTACAGTGGGGCTTATAAAACTTTGTTCTTGAAATTTTAAAGTTTTAATTAATAGGTGTACTAAAACTTTTAGGGTAAAGGTTGCATTTATAATAACACCAAACATTTAGAAATATATGGTTAATTTAGATAGGTATTATTCCACCCCCTATCCACAGCCAATGCTTTGGCCCTAAAAATATTTCAAAGTGCATCAACTTTAGATGTGTTGGTTTTTTTTGTATACAATAACTAATGCTTGTTCTAACAGGGTAATCAAAGAACGACACAGTCTGCGCCATTTCCAACTAGTTGTGATAACTCATGATGCTGACTTTGTGGAGCTTCTTGGCAGGTCTGATTATGTTGATGAGTATGTTCAAGTGTCTAAAAACTCTGAGTAAGTTCTCTCATTTGGGATTTCTTTCAATTCATTTTATTCATTGAAACTCTTTTAACTATCATCAGATATAATTATTTTTTTTTAAAAATTTCTCTTACAGAGGACTTTCAAGACTTACAGTGAGAAAAGTTGAAGATTTACATTCCAGTTAAATGATTTGCCTTATCAACTCAATTAAAGGGCTTTAATCAAGCTCTACATTGTAACTTTCTATCTCTCATCATAAAAATAAGTTTTAGGGTGTGATGATAAAATAATTGAAAAAATTGCACAAAAAATTAAAATTTCAAGGCATTATTTATGTTGTAATAAAATAATCTCTGGGGCATTATAGGACAGTGCTTAAGATAATTTTTTTTTCTAGCAACAAGGATGAGGTATTCAATTTTGAAAATTTACTTTTTAAATTCTATTTTTTGTTTTATTAGTTTTAAAATGTACTAAAGAGATAGAATTGTCACTGTTAAAATTGTTTTGGCCATAAGTTTGTTATTGATTTTCAGCAGAAACTATTATGAAAATAGTTGCTGGTGAATTTAGTTAATGGAATCATTCATGTATATGTTGCATGTGTTTTACACACTTTCGGTAATATAAAAAAGTAAAAAACTGTTATACTGAAATGTTACATATGTTGAAAAAATTGTTTTTGTTTAATAGACTGGCATTCTTATGTTAAACCTGCATAACATTATTTTTTAATAAAGACAGTTTAGTCTTATTTTGCAGTTTTTTCTTACTACTTGTAGATGTGAAGTTTTTGTCACAAGTTGGTGTTCAATAGCAGCTTATCATGTAATTATTCTTACACTAACTGTTCTGTAATATTTGTGTATTTTTGTGTGTGCTTTCTAGCCCACACATTTTCAGAAAAATAACACAAGTCAACTTGTATCAGCTCAAAATCTAGCATACTTATCTAAAACAACTTGAGTAATATAGTAATAAGAAGTTGGAATGAAAAAAAAACAACAAAGCAACAAATAAATTACATCTTTAATCTGAATCATCACTTTCACTGTCGGAATTATTACTGCCACTTGCTTCATTATTTTCAGCAGTAGTATCAACTAAGCCAGAAAAAAAGTCATTTGCCTTAGCTTTACTAAACTTGACCAATTTTTTGGCCTTTTTGGTTGCTTGCTTGCTTGTGTCAACAGTTTGGCTTTTAAGTTCTTCAATGTTCCAAAATTTGACTCTTTGGTCATGTGAACAACTGGCAATACAACTTGTGTCAGCAGTCAGGCTCAGCTTCTCTATGGGAAAATCTCCTGGGTGATCTCCCACTAGACCCAAAACTCTGTTGGGCAACACATGAACAGCTCTGAAAAAGTATTAAATTATCAATTCAGTTATAAATGTATACATCTGAAGATTAAAAGAAATGGGAATCCATAGACTTTTATAGTTCTATTTCCCATTTTTCACTAATTATAACAAAAATAACTGACTACCTTAATTAACTACAAAATAATAGGAATTTGTTATAATATGCAACTACAGCTGATTATAAAACCATTTGGTTTGACAAAAAAAAGCTTGAATGATTAATACTTAAGACAGAAAAAACAAAAACTAATGATGTTTCCACAAAAAAAGCTAATGAAGAAACAAACCTAATATGTCCATCATTAGTTCCTATACATAAAACATTTTCTGTCACAGGAACAACACTGTCTATCTGAGTATCACCACATGGAAATCTGTCACTTATATTGCCCCATTCATTCCAGTTGAAAATATTTAGAACACCTTCTCCTGTGCCACACACAAGTTTTCTTCCACCCTGTGAAGGAAAATCCAACATTTTAATAAAATGTTTCAAATTAATTCTTTCATGTGATTTAGAGGCTCATCTTAAATGTGTTGAAACTTGCAATAATAATTTACATATACAAATTGAAAGACTATAAAACATTCTAAAATAAAAGTAACATTTGGTCAAAGATGATAACAGGGTTCCTACACCAAAGTCATTTTCAAATTCCAGGAGAATTCCAGGAGTTTTCCAGGAGGAATAAAAAAATTCCAGGACATATAATGACGCATAAAACAATGTAAATTTTTCTAAAATAATAAGTATAAATTTAATACAATATTCAGCGTACTCACCAAATTAAGACATGAAATACTTGAGAGCTTTTATGCACTGATTTATATACATATATTTATAGAGTTATATACATATTTACAGACTGAAGGTTTGCACATTACAAGCCGCCAATTTCTTTCACTTTAGATTGTATTTCTAAAGTAATAGCTGCCAGTTGCTCATTCTTGCTTTTGGCAGCCTGACGCATGGCGTTAGACTCAATGAGAAACTTGTGGCTGTTTGTGTTCTCAGCATTTTCAGCCAATTTATCAGCAGATTCGGTTAGGCTGCTAATGTCTTCCTCCAACCTGGCTTTTTTCGTTTTCAACCCATCCAGCTCCTGTTGGCTGTCATCCCTCTTTCGTTTATTGGACTTCTGCTTTTCTTGCTCTGCCTTTTCTTCCAAAAACAAACGATATTTTGTCCTGGCACCTGCAATGAGCAGCCCACTACTGATGCTCACATTTGACAATCCCCCTACACTGGCAACATGGTCACAAATCAGTCTCTTGGCCACCACAGTTTTTTCATGCATGTTCACCAGCATGACTTCCTTATTTACGCTGAAGCCTCGCTCCACTGTGGCCTGGCCATGTGACAGCATCAGTAGTATGCGTACTAATGACCAGAGCATAGAATAATCTTCGTTGTGACCCATATATTGGGAAAAAAAGGTGTCAAGGCGATCGGTGCTGCAGCAAAATGAGGAAAATATGCTAGAATAGGAAGCACTAATGCTGCACTGCCACTGCAGGAACTGCATCTTAAAATTGTCGCAGTGGTCTGGGTTGATCCTACCAATTGAAACCAAGCAGGACATTACATTTTCTAACTGCTTGACACAAGCTTGACAATCATTAACAATGCATTTGGGTTGCAGCCAATCCAAATTCTGAACAATCTTGTTCTTAATGGGTGTTTTGTCTATAATCTTTGTCACAACAGCTTTTAAAAAATCCCTGCTTTCCATTTGGAATTGAAAAATATCCCTTTGGCTCACTTTATTTTTAATTTCTTTGACTGCAGCTTTAGACTTGAAACCAATGTCAACATCAGACGGTGGTAAAAGGTTTTTTGTTGTTGACATGTCTAAACACAGCAGTGTTGCAACTGATGAGCATTCTTTCTTGAAAACTTCTGGTGCAACAAACCTCTGAAGCAGGGATCGCAAAAGGTTAAAAAGCTCATGTGCCATGAATGGCAGCATGGGGGCATCGCTTTGAAATTTTTTAAGGAATGGCTGCAAAGTCTTGGCAATTGAAATAAAACACTCAATCCTTGCAGTTAAAAAATTGTCATTCAAACAATTTTGCAAAAATTCAAAAGACTTGGTGTTTGGTGCTTTTTTTTCTGCCAAAAGGGATGTTATAAATAGCTTGACATGGGGCCAAACCTTTAATGCCCTCTCTGCAACCATAACATTCTCCACCCAGCGATGTGGGCAATGATCCAGGGGGAAATCGCTGCTACCAGTGAGTCTCGTGTAGTCTTCACGGCGTGCCGGAGTATCTTTAAACAACCATGAGAGAGAGGAGAAGAAGTGACTTAACTCCCACTTAGATGCCACAAGCCCAGAACGAAAGGCATTGTGTATGGTGTGCAGACCACAACTACCAATGTCGATAAAACCTCTTGCAGAAACATGTTTTAACTCAGCCGAGAGCAGTTTCAGTAATGCCCAGTTGACATTGGGTCCATCCATGGAGATTTGAACAACTTTGCTCTGGTCAAAGTCAAAAAGACTTGTTATTTTTTTAAACATATCTTGAGCTGTTGCATGTCCCAGGAAGGCAGACCCATAATACCTTGTAATGACCTAAAAAGTTAAATACACTATTTTGTTATGCAATTTTTAAAAGTAGGCCTAGGTCTATATGAATAGTTTTTAAATTGCATTGCAATGTTATGTACAAGTATTGATTTAAAATAAAAAAATTAATTAAAAATAGTCATTTACCTTGTCATCATCCCAATGTCTAACGTGTATGACTGTATGTCCATCTGTTTCTTGCTGAGCTCCCGGTTGAGGGCCTCGTCAAACAAAAGGATGAAACCATCATCTAAACTTTTAAGTTTGGCCTTCAGCAACTCGTGGAAATATGGCCCAAGTCCAAATGACACCATGTATGCCATTTTATCCGGCCCACAGGAAAGCTTCTTAGCAATTTCACTATCCGGAAACATTCGATAAAAATGGCTAGAAATGTCTGCACAGCTATTTAATGAATAATGCGAACAAACTGCTTTTAAGGCCCATAAAATCTCAGCCGACAATGTTTGCTCACTGGTTACATGAGTTTTCATGGTGGTTTGAGCCTGTGGCAACTTTGAAGTTGATGGACCAGGACAGGGTAATGAAGACTTTTCAGCTAAGGTTACAGCTGTAACTTCAAGCTGGGATGCTGCGGCTGCCGATGGTGAAGGGGTTAGAGTAGGCACAACAGCTTTCTTGAACAGAGAGGCAACAGTTATGCAACCAGAAGACTTTTTATCAAGCTGTACATGCTTGCTTGATTTCATATGCGATTTGATAGCTGCCTCTCCCATATGACAAACGTCTATCGATTTGGCACATAACCGACAATATGCCTAGGTTGCTGAGGTTTCTTGTAGCCATGATTTGTACAACTCGTTCTCTAACCATGCAGGTTTGAACGAAGTGGTATATTTCGGCATAATGTTAAATTGGAATGTAAACACAATAGTTCACAACTGGAATCCAGAAATCTCTCACAATGACGCAGTAAAAATGAAATAGATCTATGAATGAACATCCGAAGAATCAAACTCAAGAGCTGACACTTGAATAATCGAAGATCCCGCCAGACGGACCCTTATATAGACCAAGGCTAAATCTAGTTTTAAACCAACATCCGATGTGCGCAGAATTAAAAAAAAACGGAAACGGAAACTCTAAGCGGCGGCGTAAACAAAATACCGAAAATGCACGCAAATTCACAAAAGATTCGTTACGCGCGAAAATTCCAGGAGATTTTTTAAAATTCCAGGAGAACTGAGTAGAAATTTTGAAATTCCAGGAGAATTCCAGGACTTTTGGGATTTTTTCAAATTCCAGGAGAATTCCAGGACATCCTGGAATTTCAGGAGGCCGCGGGAACCCTGTGATAAGATTAAAATAAAATAATAAGATGAATAAAGCATAAGACAGACCTTCATCTTGGCCAGACACAGAAGCTCAGAATCAAACAATTCTGACTGATTTTCCATCCTCTTTCTTCTTATGTTGAAAGATGTCAATGTGCCTTCACCACTATTTGTGATCAAACACATTAGAAAAAAACATTTGTAGTTTACATGTGCTGTTTTGACAAAACTTAGTCATTATTAATGTGAATCTTTAACAGATAAACAATTCTGGAAAAGCTTTTCCTTTTACTTTGCTGGTTGAAAACAAGTTTTCTACTTTCATAAGTAACTGACATAGATAACCAACCTGGCAGCTATTAAAAACTTTTTGTCATCATCTACAATCATATCACTGATAAAATCTTCACATTCCTTCATCTCCATTGTGCACGTTTTTGTCCTCATATCCCAAACCTGGAGAACAATACAAGTGATTGTTATTGCCTCAACAGTCCAGATAAGTTTTGATTTCTTTTAAGTATTTGACCATTACAATATATCTAACCTGATTCATGGCTGTACTATTGAGTCAGATAATAAAACATTCAACAACATATACAGAGTCATGAAACTATTAAAACCTTCAATGAAATAAATTTATACACGTATTGTCTAATTACCTTTAAAATTGTAAAGGTTTCTGAAGTTAATTGACAATAATTATAAGATTTTACTTTTCTCAATGGTGTATACCTACTTTTAGAACACCATCATCATCACCAGTAGCAACAAATGAATCACCTGTCAGCACCATACTATATATTGGTGATCTGTTAATAAAAAAAATTGGGGAAAATAAACATATTTTATAAAAGATATTATGTCAAAGATAATTCTAAAGAAGATTTTTTTTATTACACTTGATGTCTACATACTTTATAACTCTAGTAAAGAATCTTACTCATGGGCTTTCTTAATCTTTTTCTTTAACTTTCTTGTTTCAACATCAACACAATAGAGAGATTTATCTTTGGACACTGAAAACAGACACCTCCCATCTTCTGAAAACCTGAGGGCCCTACAAGCTTTTTTATGCTGAACAAACTTATGCAATTCCTTATTACCCTCTGTGTTGCTGAATTCATGCCTGAATAGACAAAAAAAAAAAGCTATGGAAAACTGTTGACTTTTCTTTTTTAACTTTGAAAATGTAATTGTGAATTGAATAAAGATTAATATACTAAATATATGTTACATTTTTTAAATGTCATTTTAGGTTTAAAATCTCCAGGTTTAATATTGTTTTTAAAAAATTTACAGTTCAAGTAGTTTAACATTTGCTTCTTTGAAAATACTCTTTATAATATCTAAAACTAGCTCACAATAATATATCTCCCCCAATTAGTCCAGATGCAATAATATTTTTAGTAGGATGACACTGTATAGTGGTGACCAAGTCTTCAAAGGTCAAATCATTTGGTGAATCTTGAACCTGCAACATCAATAAAGAAAGGTAAGGCCCCAAACTTACATACATAATTTTTAGATGGTGTTGAGATTAAAATGTTTAACCAAGCATTTAAAACCAAAATACAATGTACGTTCTAATTTACTAAGAGCATCTAACAATGGACTCGACCAAAAATATCTTTTAGGGTGTTAATATGAACACATTTAAAAAAATATATTTAAATACCTGATATCATTCTTAACAAATGTTATGGCAAGCGGGAGTCATTAGGTCTATAATATATGGCCCACGGTATGAACTTCTCTGATCGAGTGAATGATGAGCGCGCGGGTAAAAACATGCTTTTTTTTTTCTAGGCCTACAAAAAAATTATATAAAATAGCTCATTATAGGCTAAAGTCGATAGCTCCCGGGCCTGTTTTCTTGAACACTAAAATCTTGCATGCGTTGTAGTATAGCTTTAATAGAAGCAATATATAACACGAGCTGACCCGCGACGTAGCATAACCGCCAACTAGTTGTTTTATTTTCTGCTTATCAGCAATTCATAATTTGTGAATTCAGCACTACCCCCTCCCTCCCTCCCCCCCAGCCGCTCAGTGAAAGCAGCCGATTACAGAGAAAGTAAAGATCAATCATAAATTGCTACCTCCCCTTTGTTTCAAATCGTTTAATACTAAATTATCTGCCCCTAATAGAGTCCTTGCAAACACGTGACCTAAATCACGTGATACCTACGCCCGCCGCCACAGTGGTGTACACCAGACGTAAACACAATCAGCTGTTCACCAGCGCTGGACGTGTTCACCGGCGCTGGACGTGTTCACCGTATGAAAAGAACCGCACCCGCGGAAAAGGAAAAATATGTTAAAAAACTTGAACTCTTAGGAATTGAAGATCCTTATACAGTTATTGACAGTTTCGTGGATAATATAAATATGTGGCCGCAATTTCTAAATAAAAATACTGTTAGTAATACCGTTTGCGTTTAGAGTTTAAGTAGAGGAATCTGATCAAATGCAGTAATATATTATAGGTTATCTACTGTAGCAAACGTGAGACCACTTAACTTCTACAAAACCCACACTACAACGACTAATGTAATCCATGGGTAATAACCAATCTGGGTAGCATGTTATACAATTTAAGACCCTTATAATCCAGCAGGGAAGTGATCAGACACATAAATACTGATGTTCAACCCTCATGTTGGCTGCCCCCACCTGTATCTAGCCCACAATAAAACCAAAGAGGAGTCTGCCCTGCCCTCCCCTGAAAATGTCTCACCTCCGTGATACCCAGCCCCACAGAGATAGTATTTCTTATATAATTTTGACCCTCAGGGCCCAGCAGGGAGAACAAAGGGGAAAGTCCCACTGCTCTCCCCTCATCATTTCTCACCTTGAAAAATGTCATGTTATGTCATTTATAGCACACATGGCTTATCAGGGGAAAGCATTAAGGCATTAAGAATCTTAACTCTGGACAGCTACACACTAGTATACTAGCTACACACTAGGTGCCTACTGTAAACTACAGACTGTAGGCCCTATGTAGACCTGCAATTGTATCAATTGTAGACTGGGTCCATTGTTATTATTCTAAACCATTCACTTATAATGTTTCTAGCTTGATTTGTTTCTTTTATAAACAGTGGATTTAAAAAAAATTAGCCTAATCATTAACCAAATAATAATAATGTGGTTATTTGTTGTTGGCTGGTATGACCTAGATTGTACTACTAGGCTACAAAAACTTAGTAGAGCAATTACTATATACTATATATGAATTTTAATTTAATTAAACTCAGTCCAGTATCAGATACATATTGCCGTAAAAAGACAACAAAGTAGGTAGGCCTTAGTAATTTATTAAAGCCTTCTACTACAGTAATATCAACTACATGCTTGTATAAAGTTTTTACAATTTAATTTAAGTAGCAGATTCTAGATCTAAGTCTAGTCATACAATCTATTTCAATATCAGAAAATTTCGTTTGCTAAAAAAAAATGATTAGATTATAGAGCGAGATTTTATATCTTAGAGACAATTAAATGCTTTATTAGGCCTATTATGACTACTTTTGATTTATTATGGGTGTATTTTGAATCGAATGTAGATCTAAATTTTGTAATTAAATTTAAGTAAAGAAGTAGATTCTAGATTCTATGTCTACCCAGCGGAGTCAGTCACCCTAAATCCAGAACCTAGATCTGTGGTCCGAATTTTGTTTACGCCATGTTTAGAGCTAGATTCTAGATCTAAATATTAAAACACTATTATTAGGCCTACTATTAGATCTTATTCTTCTTATTATTACTTTTGACTTTGTCTTTTATTAATAGTTATCTTTTATAATTAAAATGAAGTTTATTATTTTACTGTCCTTACCTGAAACAAAGTATCGAGAACTGCATTAGATCAGATTCGTCTACTCTAAACGCAAACAGTATTACTAACAGTATTTTTATTTAGAAATTTTGGCCACATTTATATTATCTACGAAACTGTCAATAACAGTATAAGGATCTTCAATTCCTAAGAGTTCAAGTTTTTAAAAAAAAAAAAGACACCTATGCAAACAACTCAACTATCAAAATAGACTGATAGAACATTAAACTTAGTTAACTACACTTTACTTCTTGCTAAAAGGATAACTTAAAGATAGGTTCCGAACCCATAACAGACCAAGATTTGGCAGGCATGACGTTCTCCACTTGGCCACATCTTACAATATTTTGAAATATTTAAATATTTTGTATAGGCCTATAGAGCTAAATGAATATATAAGGTATTAAGAAACACCGACACAAGAACAAATGCGGGAGAATGTTTACACCAGTGTCTGATAATGTAATCTTCTTTAAAAAAGGGGTGTTAGGTTACTGGTAGTTAACTAAATACACACATGGCTGGTTAATGTCAATGCTAACCCTGTCCCTAACCCTAACCTCAACCCTGGTCCAACCATACGCCTAACCCTAATTTCTAACCATAAAATTAGTCGAGATTACAATACTACTAACTACTAACAACCCAACACCCCTTTCTTAAAGGAGATTCCATTATCAGACACTGGTATCTATAATCATCCTTTTAATTTTTAATACAGGTTGTACGAGTGCTTAACGAACTTAATGCTGGGTCCAATTGGCAATTAGTTCAATAGCGGCCATGGCTATAGGGACCCGTGTCCGAATAGCCACTTCCTAAATAAAACAGTAAAACAAACACTACTGTGAGTACTGTCACACACACTGATGACTGACGGAGACACAGCCCAATGAACATGTGAAAGAAACGTCACCAGCACCAGCAAAAGCCAGGCAAAACAAAAAAAAAGTTGTTTTTTTTTTTTTTAAGTTTTTAACTTTTAAAGTTGATTTCTCAAGTTGAACTTGCTAGACTTAGAGAATTCTAGATCTAAAAATAGATCTAGTTACTGTTGCACACATTAGATTAGAATATTAATCAATATTAATACTATGCCTAGATCTAGATCTAGGTCCCAATTATTTTTTTTACAGGCTAATAATTTGAGATGCGAAAGCGAAAGTAAATATTAAACATGCCTTTACGGCTGCAGCCATTTTTGTTTTTAGTTAAAATGTGGAGCAAATAAACAAAACAATTTGAACTGGATCTAGTCTAGATCTATATTTAAAATAATTTCTTTTTCTAAATATTAAAAAAATAAGCACAAAAAAGAAAAAAAGGACCTAATACAAATTTTGTTTAATCTTTTTTTTTCTAGCTTCGTAAACGTATGTTATTGTAGGCCCTAGATCTAGATCTAGATCTATTTAAAAAATAAGTGAACAAATTTTTAAGTTACAGAGCACTTCCGCAAATAATTTTATCAATAAGTAAATAGGCCTAGATCTAGTTTAGTAAGAGAGTCTCGTTAGTTAGATCAACATCTTCATTGAGTGCAGTTGGAGGGTTTGGTAATTCTAGAGTTGTGATTGAAGAACTATTTAAAAATCACTAAGTGATCAATTCAAATTTTAAAAATGTCAAAAATAAAAAACAAAGGAACGATAGAAGATGTCGCCTTAAATATCCCAATTTGGAACTTTGCGGTTGTCACAGTTTCACTGCCAGGCGTTTCCCTAGCGATTTGTTTTATCACTGCCTTCATATTCAGATTTGATGATGTTAATGAAACTATGTGTGAAGTAAGTAGGCCTATATATATAGAATTATAGATCTAGAATCTATATAGAATATATATTATATAGATTCTATAGCCTACACAGATTTGGATGATTTTAATAATTTTATTAGGCCTAGGCCCCTAATAATTATTCTGATTTTAGGGCCTGCGGTCTGATTATAAATCCTGTTTTTACAAGCATTTATTTATCTTACTTCCTCCATTAGTCATCAGTCTGTCTATTGTCATAGATCGAAACGGGCGAGCAAAATTTTCAGACACTAATAACTGTCAGATGCGTATCAAAGTTGCACTTGCATCAAGACTTGACGACAATGCATTCTGACATCAAATTTGAATTAATTGGATGCCAAGTTGGCCTGATTTTTTATGAATTAATTAAAATTTTCTGAAATTATTAGACAGTCTTGTGCTACTCTTTGTGCACTATTATATAGGCCGTTCGATTCACAGCTTCCGGGTTTGTTGTTTTGAAGCCATCTCACGGCTCATGCGCTTACCAAAAATGGCGACCAGTTTCGCTTTCACTAATGGGTAGAGGGATAAAACTAATGATTACGAAGCCATCGTTAATTTTAGAAATCGGAACTATCCGTTTCTATTTAAGTCTATTAATTAAGAATTGTCGGATCTACTTTTGGCCTAATTTCTTTGTTTGTCTCGCAAGCGGCGCCTTAGTGAAAGTAGCTCTATATAATTCTCATCTTTCGAATCAAATAACTCTAAAATACCCCGTGTATAATAAACCAAACTATGTGTATATGAAACTTGAAAGTATCAATTTTACACACATTACAATTAACTGGTAATAACTTATGGTCGGAATGAGATGTGGTCCGTGCAAGTAATAATGCCATTTTATTATAATCTTTTTTGGTGAACACGAGGCGCGGGAAAATGTGTGCCGCGCAAGAATCCAATCATTTGGCTAGGTTTATGACTGTTTTTTTATGTCACACCTAAAAATAGAATGTTTACGCTTTCTTCATTGATGATCGTTTTTATTATTTTTTAAACTGAAAGTATGAATTATTAGTTAGATTTTAGGTTTTGTAGCTTGGTATACTTACCCTTTATCAATTTTAAAAGCATAGCATGCTGATTGTGAACAAATAGTCATAAGACACAGAAATAAAAAGTTACATGCGATGTGCCACACCCGGGTCACACCCCCTCAAGAAAACACGTGTTTATTGAGCTGTTTATCTCACTTTACAACAGTAATTAAAATTAATTGTCAAATTTTTATTACTTATTGGGTAATATTAAGCACATGTTTACTAATAGTTAAAAAGAAACATAAGTAAATTATGTTTTAATGAAGGTCACGGGTCAAGTTTTTTTTCCTTCTTTCAAGTTCAGTGGAGGGTGCCACAGGCTGACCTGACTTTGGAATTTTTTTCAGTAATAATGACTTTGCACAGAAAGTTAAAATATGCTAAATTAGCTTAGTTTACTGGTATTCTAGCTATTATTAATACATTTTTAATAAAAAAAATTATTCTGTAATTCTCATCAAAAAGCCTATATTATATGTGCATTATTATGTTCATTTGGTGCGCAATAGTTTTTAGTCATGTAACTCTATTGTTTTAATAATTTTAAAGTAGCCTACTGAAAAAAGAATTGCATAAAACATTAAATAGAAGTATTTCTCGCTAACTTGGAGGCGTGGTCGGTTGCTAACAACAATATGGCGCCCGGACAGGACGTTTGATTTCCGGCGATTTTTCGGCCAAATTCCAGAGACCTTCAACTAATTACATTTAAAAATGTTTACCACGCGCAAAATGGCGGGATTTCCGTGTCATAACAACAAGCCATAAGTGGCAAGGCTAAATATGCCAGAAAAGCGTTTTAAAATTTGCTTTGGAGAATGAAGGCTAAATTTAAAAGTCGGTCTCATTAAAATTAATAGAACTTCTAAAATATCAGCCTGGAGGTCACAAAAATGAATTGGAGGTTGTAGAACTATAAGGCTTATCATTATATGAAGAAATAAATCAAATATTGCATGCGCTTTTTAAAATAAGACACGACTTTTGAATGACAACCAAATTTTTTATATTTTAAAAACCACATGACCTCTATTTGATGATCACTAGTGGGGAACTCTGGGTACATGGCCACTTAAAAAGTCTAATCGCATTTGTGGTTTTCTTTACCTTCAAGGGTTAGAAGAGTTGTCATGGAGAGATGTGTTGGCCATGGCAGTGAGTGTCAATAAATATTAAATTAAGTAATTTAGTTTAAAACGAACTAAAAACTTCAAAATTAGTGGCTTATGGATTAAATATGTATGTCTATTATTCAGTGGTCATGATTAAATTGAAAATTGCATAGATTCTAGATTTAGTGAGAAAAACTATTAAATAGTAGTGTATTATTATATAATTAAAGAAAATCATTTTTCTCCTTTTTTTAGTGCATTATTACATAAAAACTTGTTATTAAAATGTATTTTATGCAATTTTTTAAAACAATTTTATTAAAACTTTTTCAATATTATAAAAAGAATGCAATGTTTTCATCAGATGCAACCAAGCTAGTTTACTTTAATAGTCATCTTGTTAAGTTTTTTTGGTTAAATTATAGTTAGAGATTCAGGGGAAACCACCACTTACAGATGGTTGCAAATACTTGCTCTCAAATACTAAAAACTGCAGTTTGAAGTTAATTTCTGGCCTATATTAATATATTTAGACATTGATTTTGGTTTATTATTCAGTTATCTATTATTATATTTGACACAAATATATCACAATATGCTTTATTAATGAGTCACCTTTTTTACACATTACTAGCCTCTGCCGATTTTACATAGCTAAAATGATAGATTACCAAATATTTGGCAATAAATTAATAAATATTGGGCCTAAAATGTCTTAAATGACAGCACACTCATAATTTTGTGATGACATGTGATGTTAGAGGGGGTTCAGATAGTCTGATGTCATGCTTTTGCATTTTCAAAAAATTATATTAAAAGCTGAAATTTAGCCGATATTGTGCATTTAATTCAACAGTTTTAATAAACTGTAATAGAAATTGTGGACAATATTTCAAATTGACTCTTAGTATCCCTAGCAGAACGAATCCTTAGAATCAAAACCAGTCAGCAAGCTTGTTACATTGAGTTAAATATAAACTCAAAACAATTATATTCAGAAACTTAACCATAGCTGTATTAGAATTTTCCCTGCCATGGATTATGTTTGTTGTTGTGACTTTTCTTGCTAATATTTTGTTTTTAATTAATAAAATAGATCTCTTAGCAAAAGATAGATTGTGCTAAAATGTGAGAATCTGACCTATAAGATGTTGTTGTGGTCCACCCAAATTTGACGGTTACCTGACTCTACAGACTTGATGTAGTCTGCCTGGCTTTTCTGTACTTTTCTATTTCATAAACCACACAACCTTTTTTTGTCACTTTTACTCATAAGTAAAGTTCCTCTCTAGACCTAGCGATCCATTGGGTGAATTAAAGTTCATAAATTTCTTGAGTTTGGCATACTTTGTCTTACTTTCCCCAACTTTAAGTCAGGTACCCATTGGAACTGGGTGGACTCAGGGACATCCTACATTCAAAGGTCCAAATACATTAAAATAATTACAGAATAACTTCTCCTGACTTTGTTAGGGATTAAATGTAATGTTTAGTAAACAGCTAATGGAATAGATGACATAAAGAAATAATTTAATCCAGTGAAATACCTTAACATTAACTCATTCAACATAATAGAATTTAACTTTTTTGTCTTAAACACCTGACGTTTAAAGCTTTTGACATATTTCCTTTTATGAGAGGAGTTTTTTGTAAATGTAATCTACAGTTGCTGTTTTCTTGACTTGAAAATAGCCATCATTTGGCATTGTTTGATCTACATTTAAAACTAAAACTATCAGTATCAATATTTGTATAGTTAGATTTCTTATTTACCCTTCAGTATCTTAGATAAGCAGCCAAAAATAAAATAGCACATTATTGTGGCATTACAAAATTAACTGATTGCAAAGGGGTTTGTTGTTCTTTAATTATACAGTTACTGGCTATTCAGATATAGATTCGCATACAACAGTTTAATATTTGGTCATTTTTTAATATTCATGTCAGTTTAAGAGTTTCTGCACATACCACAAATGATAAACCACCTCCACCTTTTCATGTAGTACAGGGGGTCTCCAAACTTTTTAGCCAGAGGGCCACATTAACTATCAAATATCAGTTCGGGGGCCAGAGTTTCTGGCATCTCTTTGGGGTGGTGGTGTCCCCGTGCTTCCCCCCCCCCCCCCCCCACATCGAAATATAATTTATATAGAAATATATACACATTTTAAATGCACCCCCCTCTAGGAGAAAAAGTCTGAAAGAAACACTGTCGGGGGCCGACAACACACACGAGATCCAAGTTTGTTCTCCTTTGGCAAACACAAAAACCCACACGCCATGTTTTGAACATGTCGCTAAGGAGGTCATTTGCTTGCAATTCAATGACCTCCATCTGCAGTTCATCTGGGCAATTGGTTACATTTGCTTCAAATGGGTTTTGAAACAGTCTCACTTCTTCTGCCATTGAATCCTAGTCAGAAAACTGCCACTGAAACTGCAGCTGGGGGTCTTTGATGATCTCGCATGAAAATGATGTGGGGGAACTCAGCTGTTGCTTCAGCCACGAAGACCTTGCACTGCTGAAAATGCGCCAAGTTGTTTCCCTGTACTTGTTTCAAAAACATGGAACAGCTGTCCAGCGACTCATCCATTGCAATTGAAAAATTGCGAAACATGTTAGCAGTTTTCACTATTTGAGTCACAATGTTTTCATCATTCTCTGCAATACCGAGGGCAAATGTATTTGCACCCAAAGCTACATTTTCAAATTTTCTTGGCAAAGTTCCTCGGCCACTTCTAGCAAACATTGTTTTCCGTGAACAAAAAGATTTCTGTGGGCCGGATGAGAGGACCTCGCAGGCCGCATCCGGCCCGCGGGCCGTAGTTTG